TATTAGATAGAGACGTCTCTAACGACGTGGGAAAACATCACCACGACTGAAATCAACAAGGGTTTACATGCGTGGTTGAACCAGGTATCTTTTAACAATGTCCAAAACAACAAATTTTATTAGTTTATTTCGAGCTTTGGGGTGGGTGACTGATTTTTCTCACATTTGATAATTCCTACTTTCTGGCTAAATGTAGAACATACCTCTGGTTAGATATAACAGAAGGAAAATAACTAACTAGGGGATTTTTAATTGCAAGTGTGTGTTCATTCGAACGCAGAATTCTGCAATTAATTCAAGAAGTTTTGACGTAAATGTTACCATATAAGTCAGGACCTTCAGACACTTCCCGTTTAAAAAAATTTTCATACTGAAAACAATAAGTAAATACAGAGAAGGAAACATAACTTGATAATATCTTAACCCTAGTTAGTCTATTCCTGACCTTGCCTGATATAAGTCTTGGATCGTGAGGTACTTGCTGCCTCCATCATCAGTTAGATAATTATTGACTCTGAAATGTCGGTAATCTTATAGCAGACAACACGGCGTAATACACAGAAGAGAGCCATCTTGAGTCAGTGACTTTGCTTCGCCGACTGAAGAGGACTCTGTTGGTTACTCCCGTTTTGTTACTGATATGTTGTCCTATATGGCATATTAATCCCATTTTAATGACATTAAACACCATAACGTCATAAAAATCGTACCCATAAAATTAATACAAGAAGTATTCTAATTATATTTTCTGTTTATTAAAATTTTCAAATAGCCTCTATACTGTGCGTGGAGTTATATATGTTTTTAAGCCGAATAATTCAGCTGTATAATATGAAAATGTAAACTGTTCTCAGATTTACTCACGACCGGTGACATTTTTTCGAATAAATTTTCAAAATTACGGACATTTTCCAGAATATTTTAAGCGTTGCTATCACAAGATGAACTAAAATACATGTTTCATATGCCATAAGACTATTTACACTGAATTTGAAATATATCACAATAAAATATCTAAACGTCAAGTTAAAATACTTCACAGAACAAAATACTTGTTGCTATTTTTTATTTCTTGGAATGTAACTTATAAAAGTATTACGTTTTTTACTCAACAAAGTTTCTAGATTATAAACAGAAGACGACAGAGTTGGTCACAGCTCAGACGTACGCATGGACCACGTTGGAAGGATATTTACATATATAAAACGGAGGATTAACATGTCAAAATCATACGTTGGAATATAATGACAGAAAAGTAAAAGGTACATTTTTAGTGGGACCTTGCAAACTCTCTGACGTTGTCATAAATCTAAATATTTATTTTTAGAAATATCAGAAAAATTGGGACTGCCTGTAGTACCGCTCTTTTTGCATCAAACCAACATGTTTTTTGTCGACAGATAATTTATTTTCTAGTGCAGTTACACGTTCTAACTAACTACAAACTAGTGCCTATTTAAATGTTCAAATTTCTAAATTTAACCACATTTTATCAAAATATTAAGAATTTCTATTAAGAAGACACTTTCTAGCTAAGTTATTTGCTATCTTATTATGATCACGTGGAATGAGAATTTCTGGATATAATTTATTACTAATTTCTCTTACCACATCAGAAGTTATATGTTACTTAGATAAAATTAAAGACGTGGAAATCTGAATTTTATGATTGTATATCACAATTATTACAACTGTAAATATTATAGTTTATTAAAATAGCGTCATTACCATCACATATATCATCGGGAAGTTCTGTACTCTGAGAACACAGTCGATGCTGAAGAGACTGCACAAGTCGATACATGACACAATAATTTTTCCAGATGTTGTTCGTGGCTATGAAACACGACCTTATACTTTGAAGGAAAAATAAAAATGTTAAATTTCAATTACCCGTAGCTCCGTTTCTGTTTTGAATCAGGAATATGTCAGTTAACATGACATTTACGAAAAGGTATGACCACAGAAATAAGACCTAGACGCATTGACATAAGTTAGCGGGCATTCTGTGTTGGAGGTTAAGATTCACTACGCGAGTATCTAGACCTGAGTGACATTACACGTAACATTTGTAACAGGACATCTCTTTCATTGAGACATATCTTTAGGAAACCGTTTATAGCATTGAGAAGTGGATTTAACTGGCTCAAAATTATGTCGAATGGCGGATCTTAATATTATTATTTCGTCATAGTTACACTGTGACCTATAAAAACGGTGTGCCGAAGTACTACACTGAGATTAAAATTGTAACAAGTAGATGTTTACGTAAATTTGCGTACAAGCCTATATGAAAAAAGTATGGATGCAGTGTGAAAATACATACAAATCCGTATATCGTCTTTAAATTTAAGCATGCAAATGTAATTGTGCATGTATTTACAAAGTCTAGTATGTTCTGACATCTTTTGTGTAAATCTTCCACTACTGTGTGGCTGATGGATAAAAGTTTAATAATTAGTGGGGTAACAATCGATTGTAATGGTACTGCCACATATAAATCGACCCTGATCTTATCGACGGTATTTTAACAGACGTATCGTTTGTCACAAAACTGCGTACATATCAGAAATATGATTTATTACAAATGTAAATACGAGAAATATATAATCCTTACCCTGTTATTAACAAGTTTTATTAAGAAACTGTCGACGTCTGCTATCAACTACGAAAGTTTGCTGTAAATAAACAGGTTCCAGGGTGTGGACTGAATTCCGCCGAAACTGCATCTTGGAGGGATTTTGTGAACACGGTAACAAATCTTTGGATTTCACAGCTAAGCGACAATCATCTTCCCAAGAACAACTCTACTCCACAAAAAAATCAAGGTATGTACCATCGTTTGAGTTTTATAGGTATTGAATTGTAACTTCCATTATTCCAGCTGAGTAAGATTAAGTTTTAAGTACACAAAATTGTCGCAAGCAAAACTGAACTGAAATTTACTTAAACAAGAAGTCTGGCATGAACTGTGACTAGCTATAGTTGGCTGAAGAGAGGTTTGTGCTCGTTTGCATTTAAAATAAATGTCACCGTCCTCTTCCATTCCAATCCTGAGATTTCTCTTTGAAATAGCTTTTCTCCACGGGTGGCTTCAAAGCGGCTGAGTAAGAGAGAACCGAGTAATGTAGTTCTGTTTCATTTGACACGGGCAATTTGTAACAGGGGCAAATTCACCAGGTGTTCTCACAGCGGTTTCATTTCACACACACATCGTCTGCATAACATTTTTAGAGGATACCGCATAGGACGTTTGCAACCAAAATTCTCCCAGAAACCTTTCGTCCGGCATTCGGCGAAATGAAGAACTACAGCGAGTTTTAACATCGTCTATGTGTTCTTAAAACCGTAACATTTCGGAAGCAGGTTTTTACTCCGGCCTTCAGGTGAAAGGATGACAAACATATTTGTTTAATACCCTGGTTGATCAAATCTGAGATTTGCTAGTCGAGGTTTGAGACTAACTGAAACGAGGTGTCGAATAGATTAGGCATTTTTTCTCCTTTCAACTAAAAATGAAAGTATAACCATTTCCGAAACGTCGTAATTTTTATACCACGTAGACGATACATAAATTCCGAGAGACCTTCACCAATTTCTGTGCATAATCTTCAGAAATCTTCACATTTCTGATAACAACAATATTCTCCACGCGAGATTGTTTGTCCATCCGACGGCCAAATAAAAACTACGTGCCCATCCCTAATTCAATTCATTTCAACTAATCTATTTAAGTGTTTCCCAACATAAAGAAGCCAATAACAGGAAAACACTGATGTAAACAATGATAACGGTTCATTACGTCCAAGAAATCTGCTTATCTGTTTTCGGGTCCATCTTTACGTTCAAATGATTTACTTCCAAAATAACTTAACAGATTTTTAAACAATTTGCCATTTTGGTACATATTAGCCCACTGTAACCACAATTTTGTGTAAGACTTAAATATAACTCATGAAATTTATATAAGAAACTCATTTTAAGAAAGGTTGGTTTAGCTATCAAAATTTCAACCACGGTTTTCAACCCACAATCCTTCTGCCCTCTGTATTAATTCGGGGGTTTATCGTCTTGTAATTTTAAATGAGGAATCCAATGGAAAATCATTTATATCACAGTGCTCTTCGTATCTACAACACGTAATTTTTAAAATATTATTTACCTTTTACATACAAATAATTTATTTGAATACGTTTGTAAAATTCTAATCTCTGTACTTAAAATCATGATATTCCTACTGCAGTAAACGTTTGGTATTAAGGGGAACTGAATTTGTTCAATAAATTAAGATTGTATTTTTCACTGGGGCTACAGTAAATTTATCTGACTCATACCATTTTGGTACGTGTCGGGTTTTTATAACCCCCATTTTATATGAAACTCAAATAGAAATAAACGATCCTTTTACAAAAAATGATCGCTGCAGAGAAATATACACGACACGTAAAACAACATCCCGTGAAAGTCTGTAACATGAGCAGGGGCGATTTAATTTTTATCGGGGTTTATGTTGTTTGTGTGAAAGAATGATCCTGAAAACATGTTGACGAACAGCGCAAAATACAAATTAATGAAAATAATTGATACAGCGAACTTTCTGTTAAACCAACAGAAGACCGCCGTGTGGCCTATACGAGGTGCGATCAGAAAGTTTCAAGACTGCGTGTATAAAAACTCGTACACTTATCTCAGATATTAAATTCATCCATCACCCCCGAAGTAGTTCCCCTGGGAGTGAACACAACGATCCCAGCGCCGCTGCCAAGCCTGGAAGCATCCCTGGAAATCTTTCTTTGTCAGCCTGTCAAGCATCATCTGCGATTCTGCCTGAATCTCTTCTATCGTCTCAAATCTCCTTCCCTTTAGCTGAATTTTCATCTTTGGGAAGAGGAAGAAGTCACACGGAGCTTAGAAAGGAAGTTGGGGTCGGTTCTTGCAAGATCTTTGAGCTGTTCACTCCCAGGGGAACTACTTCGAGGGTGATGGATGAATTTAATACCTGAGATAAGTGTACGGGTTTTTATACGCGCAGTCTTGAAACCTTCCGATCGCACCTCGTATATCAGGTCACTGAAGAGTTGTCGAAACAAAAGAGCATTATTCTAAAACAAATTTAAAGCTTATCTGTAGGTCTATTAAAATAAACTAAGCGTATATTTTCAAAACCAGCTTTTTGATTTATACCCGTATTTAGTAACAATGCATTTACTTTAAAAATATTCCCGTGCGTATTTCCGTTTTTTTTTATTTTGTTATCAGTTCTCATTAATTTTGACTTTATAGTTCCATGACAACGTATAAATTATATTGTTAAAAAGTCACGAGTGGATGACATTAGCTGCTAGAAGATGAAGTGGCACTTTTCTTTCGACTATCTTAAATAAGAAGCCAGATCCAGACTAGAAGGAAGTGTTAAATGACCAAATTATCAATACAAAACGCTGAATCCCTCCATCATGCCTGAGTAGTTTCGTGAAAGATTTTCACATTCATTTGATCATTTGAGTTTAGTTCCTACTGAGCATTACTCTCTCTTGTTTCGTATTGAATAAGTTTTCCGGTTAATCACTGTATGACTAAGGAGTCGCTTACCGGAATTTCCAGTAACTTTGCCTACATTATTTGAAGGACCTATGGACCTTTGTGTTCACGACGCTACGAATTCTATGTATCAGTAGAGACAGTGCTAAGTTAATACATAAATTACATATTATAAATTTATTATAATCTAAAATGCACAATTTAATTTTTGCACACTTATAAGTGATGTTTTTCTTTTGTCTGATAAAATATAAATTTTATCACGAGCTTCGTATACAGAATTCTGTGTTAGACGTGCAAAATTTTGGTAATTAGTTTTACATCCAAAAACAATTTTGTAAGTTCATTTACACGTTGGTCCGCAAATCCTCAGTTTTTGAACAAAGGCAAGAAGTTTCAATAAATTAGTGGAAAATATGAAGTGCGAAATGTAATCAAAATTAATTCTGTTAATCGGATATTGAAATTGCTAACAGCAAAAATTTAAGATCTCTCCCCTTGAAAGCAGAAAGCATGAAAAATCAAGTAAGCATAATTTTATCGAAAGGGATTCGAACCGGTGGTATGATAATACAAGGACCGACAAGTTCAGGATGTTAACCTGAGATTAAAAATTTCCATGTCTTCGTCTTAATCATTTTAAAGTAGCTTCCATCTGTGACATAATCCTGCTATCTGATGATACTTTAAACCAACACTCTGCAGTAAATCTCAACTTAATTTATGTTAAAACAGAAATATTTAATAAAACAACGCTTTTCATTTAAATATTAACATTAATAACGCAAACAAATTATTAATAAATTTAAAAATAATCCTGATAAAACTTCTGCAGTCTCCTCCTTCGTGTCACTCATCACAAGTTCTTTCAATTTTCACAAAAACTACAATTAGAATTGAGCATAAAAATGGAACACGGAACGAGTTTTAATTCTAATATTTCTATTTGCGTTCTGGTATCTACTGAAGATATCTCACACCGAAGTGCCTGTTTCTCCTCTTCAAACTGCGCCTTCCACAGAGAATTCTCTTGAAAGCATGACGGAACTCGGGACTAAATATCGTGTAAATGATGGGATTAAGCGTGGAATTAAAATAACCCAACCACAGAAAGAACGCGATCATGTACTCGTTGAATTCGTACGAGCTGTAGGCAGACAGGAGAATCGCCATTATAAAAAATGGCAACCAGCATATCACAAAAGCTCCGGTGATGATCGCCAAGGTTTTGGCTGCTTTCCGCTCTCTTTTAGAGTCGGCTGAGTCCTTTGATTTTCTCTTGGTAGGATAATGGTGGTGCTGCTGGTAGCTGGGGCTAATATTGCAGTCCGTCACTGTTGGACCGTCCGGCTCCAGTCCGTTTGCGATAGAACCTTTTTCAGGGCTGGTGTTTGTCGAGGACACGTTTGTGAAGGCGGTCGTTGTTTCAGAGATTGTGGGCAGAGGTCGTCCGATCACGGTGACCAACGCCGCTGCTATTCCTCCTGTTGTACCTGAAATAACACATTGCGGTACTTAGAATTCTTTTGTTCTTCGACAGTTACTTTCCCGCCATGCACCAACGCGTTTGTTTCTGGCAAGGTTCTACTCCTACACACCCTTTGACCTTCAGTTGATTATTAATTACATTCTCAGTACATACGAGGTGCGATCGAAAGGTTTCAAGACTGCGCCTATAAAAACCCGTACACTTATATCAGGTATTAAATTCATCCATCACCCTCGAAGTAGTTCCCCTGGGAGTAAACACAACGATCCCAGCGCCGCTGCAAAGCCTGGAAGCATCCCTGGAAATCTTTCTTTGTCAGCCTGTCAAGCACCATCTGCGATTCTGCCTGAATCTCTTCTATCGTCTCAAATCTCCTTCCCTTTAGCTGAATTTTCATCTTTGGGAAGAGGAAGAAGTCACACGGAGCTAAGGAGGGTGCGGGATGACGGCCATAGTGTTTGAGGCCAAAAACTGCCGAACTTTGAGGGCGGTGTGCGCTGGCGCGTTGTCATGATGCGTCGCATGTGGAGTTCTTCCTTTAGAATCAGCTGACAGGTCCCATAGCCTAGCCCAACAATGTCGCACAAGTCGTTGATGGTACGACGACGATCTTCGTAACATTTTCGGGCGTTGTCCTCGAAGATGGTCGTCCAGAACGCTCGTCATCATCGACAGAGGTTCGGCCATTTTTAAAACGTGAATGCCACACAAAAGTTTGTGCACGACCCATTGCGGACTCCCCAAATGCTTGCTTGAG